AGAAATTTATCGTTCAAGTAATTTATTTGGCAAAGGTGTCAAAGTCATACAACCACTTTAAATTTACAAACAAATTCCAGGCAAATATCACAATTTTCCGCATTTTTCATTCTTTTCTTATTTTTTTCTTATTCTTAATTTGTTCTCACTCACTTTGCTATTTTTAGGAATTTTCGATCCAACTGAACTTATTGACGGAATTCGCCAACTATACAAGACTCGTGAAGGATGGCTTTCACCGTTTCCATGGTGTGAAGAGTTTCAGTTTTTTATTGGCAACATTTTTACAAGGCTCAGAGTGGTCAGAAGAAAGAAAACGAGAGGAGAAGTCACTGACACATTTGTTGACATGCCGTCTATATTGGACTCCCATGAAGAGTGTTTAGCGCCGAGAGCAGTGCTGATTGAAGGAAAACCTGGCATGGGAAAAACCACCTACTGCAAAAAGTACGTCTACGACTGGGCAACAAGAAAGCAGGAATCTCAGGGCTACGGCTTAACAGCATTCAAAGCAGTGTTATTGCTGAAATGTCGAGACATCCATTCTAATCTTTGGGAAGCCATTGACGATCAGCTTCTACCCCGAGACATCGATGAAGAAGTCAAACAAAAATTCTTTCAGTTTATTCGTGAACATCAGTCCAGCATTTTACTAATACTGGATGGATTGGATGAGTTGCCTTCCAGATAATTGCCAATGTTTTTGGAATTGATTGAAGGAAGGGTACTCCCTAGATGCCAAATAGTTGCAACAGCAAGACGCGAAGCTGGAAAAGAGGTGAGAAAATACTGTGACACGCTGCTCGAGATCGAGGGATTCACTCAAAAACATGTTAACGAATTTGTCATCAAATACTTTAAAGATAGGCGGGGTTTAGCCACAAAGCTCTTGAAACGGTTGAACGACGATGAAAACCTGAGGGAATTGGCAGCCAATCCTCTGAACACAGGACTTATTTGCCTATTATGCGAAGAGTTTGATGGCACACTCCCTGAAAGCAGAACTCAACTGTACTTGGATATGGTTGAATGTGTCTTGAGAATATATAGAAAAAGGAAAGGAGAATCATTAACAAATGTAGTCATGGCAAACCTTTACAAACCGCAATTGAATCGCCTCGGGTTGGTGGCGTTGAATGGTTTACTGAACGACAAATTGGATTTTGATGAAAGTCAATTGGGAAATCATGCAGAAGAATTGACCGCATTTGGATTTCTATCAGTGCAGCCTGGTGGCAGCAAATTGAAACCAAAAGTGCACTATGCTTTCCTTCATAAAAGTTTTCAAGAATGCTTTGCAGCATTCTTTATTTGCTCTCAGATTCAAAGCAAGGAAATCACACTTAAAGAACTAGTTTCCGATGAAAGGTATTTCCATAGCCTTAAACAAGTCCTTTTGTTTTCATGCAGAATTTTAGCCATGCAAAGCGATAAACACATTGTTGCTCTTGTGGAGAGTTTAACAGGCCAAGTCAACAAAAATGAAGGCAAAGGTGCAGACGTTGTATTAGAGGCCATTATCGAATGTGATAGAGGAGAAGATTTTTCCTTACAGTTAGCAAAATGTTTTGGATCTGGTTTGAATCTGATCAATTTGGATTTGTCAAGGAAATGGATCGCCAGGGCCGGTGCTAAATCTATTGCTGAGGCAATCAAAGTCAACAAGACTCTGACCAATTTGAATTTGTCTTACAATGATATCAATGATACCCATGCTACGTTTATTGCTGAGGCATTCAAAGACAACAAGACTCTGACTGATTTGAATTTGTCTGGTAATAAAATCTGTGATGCCGGTGCTACCTCTATTGCTGAGGCAATCAAAGACAACAAGACTCTGACCAAATTGAGCTTGTCTCGGAATTTTATCGAGGAGGCCGGTGCTGCATCTATTGCTGAGGCAATCAAAGTCAACAAGACTCTGACCGATTTGAATTTATGTGATAATGATATTAATGTTGCCGGTGCTGCATCTATTGCTGAGGCACTCAAAGTCAACAAGACTCTGACCAATTTGAATTTGTCT